TTTTTTATAGAAGCAAAAAAAGTCTGGAAACTAATGCATTTTTGGAGAATGGCTAAATGGCATATGAATGGAACAGAATATTAGTGTGCTGTAAGAAATGGCAAAATGGACAGCTTCAGAGGAAAATAGGAAGACTGCTATGAACTGATAGAGTAAAGTGAGGAGAACTAGGAGAAAAATTTGTACAATAGTAACCTTAAAAAGAACTCTGATCAATGCAATGACAAACCATAATTCCAGAGGACCGAAGATATCAGGAAGATGATAGACTTAAAATTTACATTGAGATATACATTTTAGAATGTTTATTTGTTATGAAGGTTTTATTTTACTTTTTTGTGGTTCGATTGGGGAGAAGTGGAAAAAGAGAAAATAAATGCTTTTAATTGGCAAAAATTTTTTTTAATGAAATCATATTTGATCCTAGATTCAAAAGGGAACCACTGGAGTTTACCAAGTAAGGGAATGACATGGTCAGACTTGTGCTTTAGGAAAATCACTTTGGTAGCTATATGAAATATGCTTTGGAAAGGAGAAAGTCGAGGCAGAGAGACCAATTAGCAGGCCATTACAATAATCTAGGCATTGGACTAATTGAACAATGAGAGCCTGAAATAAGGTGGTGACTGTATAAAGCCAATGTGAGAGATATACAGGTACAAAAGGCAAGATTTAGAGACTAATTAAATACATAGTGAGGGAAAATAAAGAATTGAGAATGAAACTAAGGTTACAAACCTGGGAGATTGGAAGAATGGTAATGCCTTTGACAGAAATAGGGACATTTGGAAGAAGAGTGGATTTGGGGGGAAAGAAATGTAATAATATTTGTGATCTCTTCCAAAAATCTCTTCTATCCTATGATCTCTCTTTTTCTTCAGGCTAAACTCCTTGAGAAAACTGTTTACACTAACTTTCTTCTAGTTTTTTAATAAACTTTCCTCAATCTGGCTTCAACCTCATCATTTAACTGAAACTGCCTCTCAGTTTCCCAAGCTCACAAATTTAGTGTCCCACCTAACTCCTCAGTAACCCTAACCCTAATCCTAAAAATCCTCACTATCACTCACTCTATATATCCAATCATTCAACAAATCTTATCATTTATTTCTACCTTTATCTCTTTTATACATACATCCCCTTTTCTCCACTCACATACTCATCCACTGTCCTGATTCAGACTCTCACCTGGACTCTTAAAATAGCTTTTTCATTTTTTAAAGATTTAATTTAGTTATTTTCAATTAAAAAGCACTTATTTTTATCTTCCTCCCTTCTCTCCTCCATCCCCAACTGAACAAAAGGAAAACCCTTTTAACAAATATGCATGGTCAAACAAAACAAATTCCTACATTGGCTATGTTCAAAAACATATTTCATTCTGCATAATTCCAACACTTCTCTGAAAAAGAGAGGGTAGTTAGTGAAGCATACTTTATTATGGGTGCACTGGAATCGTCACCTTCCCTCTTCCCTTCAATGAGCCCCAGTAGCTCTCTATTACCTCCGGGATCAAATATAACTGACATTTAAAATTCTTCATAATTTGGCCCCTTCCTGCCTCTGCAGTTCTTACACTATTCTTTCTCACACTCTCTACAAGATTCACACTGGCTTACTTGCTCTTCCTTGAATATGCCACATTCCTCAAATTTGTTCCTTGAATGTTCTGCCCCCTCACCTCCAGGTCTTAGTTCCTTTGGCTTTAAGACAGCTCAAATCTTACCTTCTGCAAGACCTTCCCTGGTCCCTGCCCCCCACCCCCACCGCCTAGCTGCTAGAGCCTTCCCCCTGTCAGATTATTTTTCCAACTACTCTGCAATATATCTGATACATACCTAATCATTTCCATTTCTCCCATTAGAATGTAAGGTTTTTACAAGCAAGGAACTGGGTTTGCTTTTCTTTTTATCCCTGGTGCTTAGCAGAGGGGGAGGTAGAGCTCTTACTTATTGGTCATTGCCCCAAAAGATGATGATACATTGTAGAATTTAGATTTTTCCAAAGGTATCCACCCAGGTGCTATGGATTGCAGTTAATTTAGTCATCTGCTGTAAGACAAGGTAGGGAACTTGTTCACCAGAGGAAGTGGGCTGAACAAGGACATACTGGGGACTAAGGATAGGTGTGGTTGTGCTAGAGAGACTGGCTATCAAAGAGGGTGGTATGTGACCTATTTTCTCATCCTCTGATTGGTTGAGAGGAAACCCACTAGCCCATTCCATTTTTGGACAGTTCTAATTGTTAGAAAGTTTTTCCTTATATCAAGCCCAAATCTGCCTATTTCCAACCACTATTCTTGCTTTAGCCCTGTGGGGCCAGTCAGAACAAGTATAATCTCTTTTCCATAAAACAGTACATTAAATACTTGAAGACAATTATCCCTCCTAATCTTCTCTTCAATAAACATTTCCAGTTCCTTCAATTACTGGCATAGCATAAACTCAAGGCCCTTACCATTTTAGATACCCTCTTAGATGCCCTCCAGCTTATTAATGTAATTTCTAAAATACGGTACACTAAACTAAGTACATGCATGAGATGCGGTCTGACCTAGGCAGAGTATGGCGAAATTGACACCTCTGTTATCCTGGACACCATGCTTTCCTTTGCTAATGCAAGCAAAGCTTTTGTTAGCTAATTTGGCTGCCATATACCACTATTGACTCATATTGACCTAGCAATCCCCTAAAACCCCCAGATCTTTTTTAGAAAAACTGCCATCTAGTCACATATCCCTCTTCTTGTGCTTGCAGATTCTTTTAAATATGTAAGACTTTTACATTTATCCTCTTACATTTCATCTTGTTAAATTTAGCCCAATGTTCTAGCCTGCTGAGATATTTTTGAATCCTGAATGTCAACTAGTGGTAACTGTCTCTTCTAGCTTTGTATAATCTGCAAATTTAATAAGCATGCTACTTACCACTTCACCCAACTCCAATATAAACCTATCGTTTTCATTTTAATTGTACAGGACAATAAACCTCAACTATTATCCCAGTTGGTACAACCTTCAAATAATGCACATCTTCTTGGCTACATTTTAATTCTTCTCTCCTTGATGTTTCAACTTCTCTTAGCTGCTCATACCTTTTCCACATTCTCAAGTACTTTACTCACACTCTACCTTCACTGCTATGCCCTCCTTCATTTCACTGTGAGCTCCTTGAGGGCAAAGATCGTTTTTACCTTTCCTTGCATCCCCAGTGCTGACTCCTTCACTTCCCTGCTTCACATCCAATGTTTCCCTCTTTCTTCACCATCTAACTTTTATATCATTCTCTCATCTCTGAGTTACTCATCTCCTTCCAAGAATAACTGTACTGTTGATTCCATCCTTATGCCGTCTCCTCTGGCACTTTGCTCTGTTATCCCTTCTTCACTCTTATTCCACTAATTTCTTTCCCTGGTGTGTACACGTGCTTAGCTCTCACTCATAAAACCTTCACTCACTCTGTTCCTCCAAGTTACTGTCCTTTCTCATTCTTCCTATCACAATTTCTCAAAATAGTGGTCTTTATTCCACTACCTCTATTTCTTCACCACCCACTTAATTTAATCCTTTGCAACCTTACCACCATTCTACTGAAACTGTTTTCAAAGGCCCGTGGCAGCCTATTGCTTGCCAAATCATTGGTCTTTCCTGTCATTTTGAGTTTTTTGTGGTCGAGAACATTTCATTGTTTGTATCCCCCAAAGTGCCATTAACATGCTTACCGTGTGCTGATCATATATGTACTCCTGCATAGAGAAGTTAGATGAAACTTGCTTTGTTACAGCAATCATTGGTGAACTATGGACTGACTCAATACACAATACTAGTGTAATATTCAGAAATCTTCATTTTAATGGTTTGAAGGCTTTGCAGTTAAGAAATCATTGTGTCAACAAGGAAGCATCGTTTTCTATGCTCTTCGCCCATGGCTAAAATTTCACCCTCAATGTCCAATTTGCAGTAAGCATAGTCAAACTGGCTTACTTGCTGTTCCTTAGCATTCCATCCTCTGTGTCTTGTCTCCATGCCTGGAACGCATTCCTCTATATCCCAAGTATGTCTGGGTGCAAAAGCCACCATCCCTCCAATGCTAGTGCTTTCTGTCCTTCCCCCTTACCAAAAAAATGCTCTCCATATATATTTATATCTCAATACATAAAGTTACTTTCCCCTTTTCTCCCTCCCAGAGGACATAGACTTCTTGAAGTCAGGATGTTTTTTGTCTTACCTCCAACACCTGGCACATCTATATACTTAATAAACACTTACTGGAAAACTAAATTACAAAGAAAAAATTAAGCGGTTTGTAGTGCTAGCTTATTTAGACATCAAACAGTATTCATTTTTAGCTGATTGCAGTTAGATCTCAATTATCCATACTTCCAATTCCCCATGCACTTTGGCTGCTGTCCAGTTGACAAGCTACCCAGTCTTTGGTGGTTATGGCTCAGCTCAGCATCATTTGCAAGAAAACTTGTCACAGGGTGTCAGCTAGGGCACCAAAATAACTAATAATTTCCTGAGTCTCCTTAAAATTCTTTTGTTAACTAGTTGTTCTATCACTGTAAGTAATGAGACCAATGTAAGTATCACAGCTGCTAGAGGGCAGTGTTCCACTGACAGTTTTGTTGTTCCCTTCCACATAATCTACTTAAGGGTGACTTTTCAGCTTCCTGTGATCCTCTTTACCCCAAATCAGGGGGAAAATTAATCAGTACATTTTGACCAACTGTGCAATTATACCTATCCTGATATAGAAAACTGAGAATGAATTCTTTATCGGCCTTAACCACTTGTTGATCTTTTCCTACCATGGTAAACTTTTAATTTTTAAAATAAAACTTAAAAGGTGGGTCATCACATAAATGATAATCAGTACCCTATAGGAGCTAAAATTTAAAGGGCATTCATTATATGCTTTATGAAGAGTTAATATACTTCAACACAATCTGAAAACTAAGAACAAAGTGACAGTTAAAAAAAAAAAAGACAAAACTGCAAGTTCCAACAATAAAAATTGGGTAGAACAGTTTATTTTCCTATATCTCTTACAAGTATAATTTTAGAAGGGATTGGCAATTGACAAGTTTCATCATTAGTTCCCAACTCATGTGAAACAGAAGAGGTATTAGTCTGGTTCTTTTATACATGCTAGGTGTTCTACTGCATCATCAAAGATGCAAAACAAAATTTGAGGGCAAAGCACTGAAGGAATTAACTTTTTACTTCAAACTTCTAGCTAGGTGATAAATGACATTATATAAACATATTACATTAATGATTAATCATGACTTAACCAGAAAGCTACAAAATAAAAAGAATTTCCAGGGGAAAAAAGATCCAGAGGCTTAATACCTATTTAGGATGTCAAAATTTATGAAAGAAACATATGAGGTGTTTACACATCCTTAGGGTTATCTAATCTAGAGTGAGGTTTCAGTAGAAATTTTCAATTTGATCCTATTTACAAAGGTAGGAAAAGAAACCTTCTAATACAAACACAAAGGTCTTAATGACAAGTGGAATTTGGTTGGCAGTACATGCTGAGGTGTAAAATGGTCAGTGGTTCAAATTAGTGACTTTCCAAATATTAAAGATAATTAATGTATACTTTTAGCAAACGTTGGGGGAGATGGAGATATCTGATCTCACCAAATCCTGAGAAACATTAAGAGCTAAGCAAGGTGAATGGTGCCATTCTGAGACTTAAGGTTTACAAAACAAAGAAAAAGAGAGGGACAAAAGGGAAAAAAATTGAAGAGGGAGAAGATAAAAATATATGCATATGTTGCAGAATATAAGAATGCTAAATTCAGCAGTGCTCTTACTACAGGCTACTTACCCTTAGATTAGACAATACCTAAGTTAGCTACAGAAAAACCTATAATTTAAACAAAATCAAATAATATTAATTTTTAATTTAAAGTCATCATATAATACTCAGTAGTTTTATTACTTTAAGCACATATAGCAACTCTAATTGTTAAAAAAAAGGAGGTCCAAGTAGAAGCCCTTCTGAGTCTGCTTTAATAAAAAAGTAACTCATTTAAAAATCAACAGCACCATAGAATGAAGTGAACATGCTTTTTACAATGCCATTTTATACTAACTGGCTTAGGACATTCAGAGTATTAAGGTAAATTTCAGCCCAGACCCTTATTCTACAACAAGAATTCAGTTCTAATAAGTTATACTATGCTTATTTACCTCAAAACTACTAAGCATTCTGGGCAACACTTGCCTGAATCTATAATTTTTTTTAATGGCTAGTTATGTTTTCAACTAAATACTAATTTTTTTTTCCATAACTGGCTCACCAAATTTAGTTATTGGACAATTTTCTTCAATATTCTGCCAGTTTTTCTGTTATCCACATTTTCTAAAATGCAAACATTTTTGAATCCATAAACTCAAAACTGTAAAATTTAAAATGGCCTAACACACTATTTAGTAAAACCTTGCTTTTTATAAATGAACAGGGAGGTTTGGGTAAGAAAGGACTGACTAGAGCAGGGGGACAGCAACCAGCTCTGAGAGCACCACTAATGGAGATACACAATGAACATTAAATCATTAACAGGTCTTTCCTTATGGAAAATCCTGAGATCTGAAGCACTATGACTCTGTAGAAGGCAGGTTGGCTTTATGAGGAAAATTTTATCTTTATTAAAGACAACCACAATTATTTTAAATTGGGCACTTAAAACAGCCTTTCACAGATCCTCAACATGTTTTGAGGTAGATTAAGTATTAGCATCCTGTGTTAAAAAAATGAAACTTAGGCAGCACTTGAGTCATCTGCCATAGGCTAACAGCAACATTCTTCTCTTTCATGGTCAGGATTAGCACTGTGCTCTTAATCTTTCAGTGCAGTGTTTATTAGATCACTCCTCTCAGATGAATGGGGATTTCATTGCTGTAGCACTTAAGTCTTTCATGAACATATGAAACAAGAATTGACAAAAAACCATAAAATTCCATTTTGGGTTGTTTTTGTAATGTTGAAGTGACTCTTACAACTAATTTATAGGTGAGGACTTTACTTCAAATCTGTTATCCTTTTTCAAATATATCTTTTTTAACTTAATATCATTTTCTTCATTTTGTTTTTCTGTTTTTTTTGGAGGGGAGAAAGGTAACTGTAAAACTTTTCTTAAAATGGTAACTTGCTAAAAGTTTCTGTTAATGCCAATAGAGATGATTAAATCTACTTATGGCTACCTAATATTTTTGTGTGCAGGAATCCAATAATGGAAATTACCATGTGTTCAGGGCCTAAAATTAGCCTGGATCCCTTTCCCCCTCTGACCCTTCTTTCTCCATTTCCCATACACACACCAAAAAGGAATTTATAGACAGGAAAACATCACTAGTGGCATATTTCGGGCTAATATTGTCATAATGTATAATTGCATAAAACTGGGGAAAGTGTACAAAACTACAAATGGCAAATTAGTCACGACAAAGATTTTTAACTTCTTGGTAAGACTGCCTGCCTCAACTTGTTCTTGTTCATGAATGAGATAAGGAAACAGTGCTACAGGGGAAAAAAATTAAATGGATATCTGGATATCACTTCAAATCTAAAAAAAAAAAAAAAGAGGATGGTATTTATAAAAGCAGAATAACTAAGGCTTAAATATTTAACTGGGATACATTCATCCCTCTTTAAATGAGATGTTTTAATTGGAGCAAGGGTTAACTCATTTAGTTTCCTCTAATTTAATACTAAAAATATTTACCAAAATGTTACAGGTCCATACATATTGACTTATATCTTTGGGATGTCAGTCTTCAAGTATTTACTTGTTCAAAATTCCCTTTTATTTGTACATTTAGAATTGTCAAATATTAGTTACACAGGATCAGAATTTAATAGCCACTAAACAATAAGAAAATATCATCCTAGTGTGTCTTAAGTATAGAATTCAGCAAAACAATTATAAATTAAGTATATGCTTCTACTTCCAAATGTACAAAATGGCCTCAACTCCTGCTCTTAAACTATGTCAAATTAATAGCAGGAAATGGGGTTAAAGCCCTGAAGGCTTTTTATTCTAGAGCTTTCAGAAAGTTGAGTGTGAAAGTAAAAATATTCTCCACTTTAAAAAATCTTACAAAGTTACATGACTTGTAATTTCATAAGTCACAATGAAATGCTCTGCATAGGACAAAAGATATGCCTAAGCAACATATCGCATATGCACACAAGGCCACTGAATGTCATGGGCATTAGTAACAGATGAAAACATATAAGTCTATACCTAAATGAGTAAAGTATCCAGTTTGGTATTTTCTAAATCCAAGACTTTAAACTACTCTTACCCATACAAAGTTCTAACTGTAGAGTTTGAGGTGGGAACTCTTGTGCTTCTGGTTGGCACATGATCTGTTGTTTAAAAGTGTGAAATTAATACAGACATTTGCGAGAGGTTGTGCAAAACTATTATATTTACAAAAATGGCACAAAAGTGAATTTAACAGTCTATGCACATGCACACTTCATTCACATCTTCAAAAGAAAAGGTATTCTAACACTAAGAATCTGGAAAAAAAAACAACCCCAAAACAAACAAAACCCAGCTTCAATGGGCAGCTGTTAATAAGCACTAAATTCACAAAAGGTTACATCAGGATGGGCAAATATTGCCCAAGTAAAATTCTATTGTTAAAGCTGAAACAGGTTTAAGGCCATTCAAGTTTAAGAGCAAAGATAGAAATCATTCAGAATCCCACCTTGTGTGTGTGTGTGTGTGTGTGTGTGTGTGTGTGTGTGTGTGTGTGTGTTTCATTTTAAATACATGATCTAACAATCTGTGGTCTTAAACCCCTGTTTTACAAAACCAAACAGAAAAAAGCAACACAATAGATTATATTAAATAACACAAACATATAAAGCTGTAATTAAGAGGAATAAGGAAAGCCAAAACAGTGAAACTGTAAAACTTGCTCGTTACTTGCTGGAACCAGTCCTACACTAAGGAATAGGCAATATATACATTTATTTTCAAGTAGATTACTTTACATTGCTCTAACATGTGTCCTTTTCATCAGTGCATTGTTCAACTAGTCCAAAGTACTACAGTTTATTCTTAAAAGTTTACTCCCTTAACAATAGCAGCACACACTACCGCTACCTGCAAAGCTGTCAGTTTCAATGACTTAGTGTATGGAAGGAAAAAAAAAGCCAAGAAGTAACATGTTTGAGAGAAATAACAGGAATGAGGAGATTCATGCAGTTCAGCTCTTTTAATCAGCCAGCCAGTTTGCTAGCAACAAGGGACGGTTTCCGCTGTGGAAGATCCTGCGGAGTAGGAATGTGGTCACCGGTGACCTCTGTTTTGTCAGGAGCTGCTGCAGTAGGAAGCTGCTTGTTCTTCATCTTTGCTTTAGCCATGTTGTAATCCCCAGAGTCAAAATACTTTTGCTATAATAGAAACGGAAAAAAAAACTTTAGTAAAGAATTTATAACAAGCATATATGCAACTGCACTGGTCTAACAATGAGAAGAATAAACTGCCAAATGACAAAATGTAAGGATTTCAAGTATGATGATTAGCTAAAAACTGACACTATACTCCTGAACTGCAGGGAAAACTGAAAGGTAAATTTTTCTCAATAGGCTTACTCTTACTTTTGAGCCCAGTCTGTGGGTCTGTAGATAAACACATCCACCTATTAGATGATGATTGAACTGACTGTGCTTAAAATCCCACTAGAAGTTCTCAATCAATAAATCATTAGAAGCAATGTTCAATTGGCGAAACTTACTATCAACAGTACTCTTACCATCTCTTGTTTAGATGGTAAATATCTAGCAGGTAGCAATCTAAGGAGGAGGTACCCATCAGAGGATACACATTAGCATTTGGGGAAAAAGGGAGAAGGAAGATGATACGAAGGAAAGATGAAATTGATATTCTTAAAGTATTTTTAAAACCTAAAAAAAGCAGCTAAGAGACATAGTATATGAAGATTGTAATGTGTAATCTTTTTACTGGGAGCGGTGTTACCAAGGTTGTAGGCTGTGGACATAAATGGACAGTTATCAAGCTAAAGTTTGTCTGTACAGTAGCGATGGGAGGGCTGGGCTCACTGCCTAGATATTCATCCAAAAGCTGCGTTCCCATCTCATCTCTGCCTCAGAGAATCATTTCCTTTAGATGCAGCTCAAGCACCACCTTCTACAGGAAATCTTTTCTGATAATCCCAACTATTAGTGCCCTCCTTTCCTACCATGAATTTATTACGTATGTACTTAAATACATGTACATATTATCTCCCTCAATACAACCTGAGTGTAGATTTTTTTTTTGGTCTTTTTATCCCAAGTAGCTAGTACTCTGCCTGGCAGCAAGCAATTAATAAATTCTTGTTAATTAATGTAAAAGTTGCAGCAATTGAAAATGAACAGCTTGAGATAACAAGATGTCCTGTTCTGTAAATATTCAGAAGGCCCTTGAGACAATTTGCTGTCTTCTGGTCTGTAACATCACTAAACATGGCGTTTAACCCAAAGCAACTCCATAGAGTAATTTTATAGTACATAAGCTATGTGATCTTGTCTGTCTCTTAGAGTTCCTGGGATTGCAATGGACAAAGAAACTCTCTGCAAACAGCTTGTAAATAATTAAAGAAATGTGACTGATGGATTTGATTTTAAAGTCAACATGTAGCTTGTTTCTCTGACAAGATATCATTCTAATTTACTGGTATGTTTTAGTTCATCAAAAATGCAGAAAATTATTTCAAGATTCCATTAATAAAATCAGTTTTATTTTGGGGGGGGGGGAGGATTAGGGAGGGAAGTGATAGGTGACCTATTTCTCCCTGCTATATTTTTATATTTCTCTATATGCTATATTTCCCCTTCATCACTTTATTTAATTGTTAATGAACATATAGGAAATAGGCTCTACCTGTTGTCTGGCACTCTCTCTTGCTTGAATCAGGTAGTATAATTTTGGAAAAAGCAAACTTGATGACTAAAAGCATTTTTTTTTCCCCACTTCTACACTAACAAATCAACCATTAAACAACATTCAGTGCTAATAGCAAAAATCAAACAGTTGCTGGCTCACTGATGATGATTTTTATACAAAGGGCTAGGGAATAATCTTGTGGTTTCACTAGGGAGCTCCAGGTGAGGAATTTCTTCAGCATGTTTAGGCTGGCCTCTTCTCTGCAACTTTGAGAGTTTTTTAAAGCACTAAAAGGGTTAAGTGACTTGCCCAGGGTCATAGAGCCAGCATGTGTCAGAGACAGACTTGAAAGATTAAAATTAAATTTACAGAAAAAAGTTACGGACCTAACTAAAACAATAAAAACTCTCCAGAGCCCTAACCTTTTTTAGGGGCTAATCAGTTTAAAAGCTGAAAGAATTTAAAATAGGGATAATTTCAGGAAGGAAAATATAAGTTCAAATATTTCAAGATGAACCAGAACACAGTAAAGTAAAAACTCATGATACAATGGAAAGTATGCTGGCTCTGGAGTTCAAGGATCTGGGTTCTAATACTGAGTACCAAGGAGACCTAGGGCAAGTCACTTAAACTCAAGGCCACAGTAAAATGAGTAGATATACTCTGAGGCTCCTGCAAGTTCTAGATCTATGACAGAATATACTTTGCCAGATTTGGTTATATGAAAGGCCTAATCTATCACTTACACACAAAGTGTGTAATTAAGGGAATCAATGATAAGTGTTACTATTATTACCCAATGGTAGCACTAAGGGGGTTTTAGTTGTTATTAAACCAAAACTGAGGTAGCTCCTATTAATATACAGGAAATCTTATATTAACTAGGTCATCTAATATGCTATCTTCAACTACTCAAAACCAATGGAATAGAGCTCAATCATACTAATATAGATGTAACACACACAACAACACAAACGCATACATAAGAGCAGGAGCTTATTTTTCAAACTTAAAGGAAGTAAAGATTGACATCCAGTCGACAGTCATTTATTAAGAATTGACCATATGCCAAGTACTATGCTAGCACTGGGGATACAAAGAAAGACAAAACCACAGGAGCCCCTGCCTTTCATCCTAATGATGGAAATGACATTCAAATACCAATGAACATATTAGATACATACAGGGCAAGTGAAAGGTAATCTCAGAGAGATTGCACCGAGGGGATAAAGAGAGGGGAAGACACTAGAAAAGACCTCCGACAGACTAAGTCCTAAAGGAAGCCAGGTGAAGAGAAAGAATATTCCAGTCATTGGTTACAGGCAGTGAGAAGACAGGGAGGTGAGCAGTGATGTGTTGAAAGCCAGGTTGTGAGTTAGCTGGTGTACTTGGATTGCAGAGTGAATAGAAGAGAGTGTGTGTCATTCCTACCTCTTTAGTGAAATTACTTTGTATATACTGGAGTGGGTGAGACAGGGATAACACAACCACAAGCCTGTTGCAATAGTCCAGGCATAAAGTGACTCAGGCCTTTACCAGGGTGGGACCTGTGTGAGTAGAGAAAAGGGGACGTATAGAAGGGATGTCTGAAGTAGAAATAACAAGACTTGACAAAAGATTGGATAGTTGGGATGAATTATGAGGAGTCAAGGATGACATCAATACTGTGACAGCAGTACCCTTGACTGTAATATGAAAGTATGGAAAAGAGGAGGGTTTAGGAAGAAAGATAAATTCTTTTTCAGACATTTGGAGTTTGAGATGCTTGTTAAGACATCCAATTCAAAATGTCCAAAACATATTGATAGAAGATTGGAAGCCAGGATAGTCAAGGCTTCAAAGTCTAAAATATCCCCTGTAAGATGTAAAGAGTAATTTTAGATAATTCTTAGATCAACTCTACCATTAAGGGAAAAAGTCAGATAATTTAAAATGAAAAGAAGTTTAAAGTAAATAGCACCTCCTCAAATTGGAATAAAGCCCCAGAGCACAAATTAAATACATTCATATGAAAGATTACCAGTTTGTCTTAAAACAAAAAAAAAAAACCACACAGAAAACAGAAATCTCTCCTGCAACAAAATTTTTCCTTCCCTCAAAGAAAAAGAAATATAAAAGATTAGATTTTATTACTTTAATGTTCTGTCACTTAGCAATTACAAATAATCATGGTCAAACTAGACCACAGAATTTTATTTACAACCAGTCTTAAACCCACTGCCATTTCAAAAGACCACACTAAGCTCCTGACCTTCACATGATTTTATAAAAGTTCAATCTAACTCTTTTAAGATGCTACAGAAGGTTAGGAGATGGTCATTATAATTAACATGGGTGGCTAACAGTTGGGCCAGAGTGCAAAGTTAATTCAAAGTTACAAGTTGTTGTGTACCCCTAGATTGAGGATAGATGTGTACAACGGGAAAAGTAGCCAGAACACTTGGTTAAAAATGGTTTCAATGTATGTAAATTATATTCTCCATTTAGTGTATATACAAAGAATATGTAGTAGATTTGACATTACTCGTTTTCAATAAACCATTTTCCACTATACTTTTGGTTTTATAAGCTGAAAATTTTTGTTTGATGTTATTCTCAAAAAATGCATGTTCTTCACATGACAACCCACTTGATTCCCCTAACTTTATCCAATCATTAGCCAGACTAGGATATTTTCAAGCAAAGGTTCTTAAACTGGGATCTGTCAGCTTTTAAAAAATATATTGATAACTGCATCTTAATATAATTTATTCCCTTTGTAATCCTATTTTATGCATTTGAAAACATTTTATTGCTTTGTTTGACTATACATATTTGTATCAGGTTTTGTTTTTCTTTTCTTCTCAATGGGTGGAAGAGGTGAGAGGAAGAGAATTTGGAACATAAAGTAAAACTGAATTTTTAAAAATATATTCTTTGAAAAGGTCCACAGGCTTCAGCTGTGTGGTCCCTGGTTTGCCAAGGGGTCCATGAAACAAAAAAGGTTAATAACTCATATTTCTAAAGGAAAATAATTTGGTGGTTAACCAATAATGTTTTAAAGTAAAAACTATAATTGATGGTATTAGATAATAAGATATTACAAGACCTTAACAAATCTGTTAAACTCACTTTGCAAATAGTTACCCCTTGGTTTAGCAATGCCCTGTCTAGCAGAAATAAAGTTTTCCCTATTTATTCACCAGGCTATATTAAGAAAAGAGCTTATAGAATCATACATATAAAAAACTGCATAAAAATGGAGCTCTTAACATTGTGGAAAACTGGGTTTATGATAAGAATTCTCTGTAAATTTCAGTCACGAACACTCAATATATTCTGCATGTTCTATAAAACTCATTTTGAACCTTTAATCCTACAAAGAGAAAGACTATCCAAGAAAAACAGCCAGCCCTTTTTAATTGAGCTCTCAACCTAACAATGAACCAAACCTCAAAATAGCAAAAATGTCCCTAAGTAATTTGAATTACTTAAATAACTTTCAATTATTTTAACATATTTTAAAATAGTTACTTTAATGTACTTAAAAGATATAATTGCCATTTACGGCAATTATATCCAAATAAACAATTTCCCAAGTATTTGGAGAAATCAATTTACAGAATAATAAATTCTTAAAATATGCCAAAGTAAGGTAATGTTAACTTGCTTAAAATCACACTGGTCATTTCATGCCACAATTAACAAATTTGCATAGTATAAGGAAGTAAAACTTAAAAAGAGGAACTTACTCCTTTCTGCAGTCGCTTCCTCAAGAAATCTGAACCCCCAGGCTTTTGTCCCAGATGAGGATACCTTGCTTTTAATTTTGCTTCTTCTGCCTTCTCTGGACTAGTTACTTTATCTTCCATTTCCTGAAATTATTTAATATCAATTAGTTTTTTATTCAACCTATAGTTTTTGTTTAAAAAACAAAATACCCCCTTTTACAAATGTAATCTGGTTCTTGCATGTAGCGTCCAATGCCAAAGAACTCTCAGTATTTGGCTAATACCTTACTGAAAACCAAGTACAGGAGGAGCTCTAAAGACAGAACCTCTATTTAATGTATTTTTTAAAATGATCCAAGAGATGGCTCTATTATAGTTGTGGTGCATGTGTACCACCCTACACACTAGATAAAAATACCAAGATAGCTCAGCTCTTAAGTCTTTCCTGCTATTATTTTCCTGTCACGTAGAATACATTTATAGTTACCTACCTTTTATGGAACTCTTCAGCTCACATTTACCTATAATTAGATGTTCATTCTAATACATTTTTATGATTTTAAGATCCCAACTACAGTAAAACCTTTCAAAGCTGATGTTTACTAAAAATCATGTCTAATTTGAAACACAGCTACTCCCCAGAGTTTATTCAAAGTCATTTGTCTTTCTAAACCCCTTGAATTTGGACTTAATGAGATTGTATTGTACTGTGCATATTCTGCAGATAAATTAATATGCGTACAATAAATGCTCAATTTATTAACAAAGGAATCTAAAAGACAGCTTCATGGTCTCTTATTTTCTTAATATACAATATTATATATTTACACATGTAAGATCTTAGATGTTTTTAGGATTCCCCTCACTATATTAAGCTAAACAAACTATTCTGAACTTAAAATTGATCTACCTATACATAATTATGGAAAATGTCATTTTGTAAATTTTTTTTGGCTTGGCCCTGTGATTTCATCCCATAGAGAACTGGAACTCCCAGTAAGGAAACTACCTCCACTAATGCAAATCGGCAGTTGTTCTCAAACTTATAGTCTTAAGAGTTAGTTGACTGGGGGCACAAAGAGGTTAAGTGATTTCCCCATAGTCACACAGATAGTTTATGTCAAAAAGGGGCAGTACTTGAACCTAGGCTCTTCTAACTCTGAAACTAGATCTCTATCCACTATACAACATTGCCTCCCAGTTTTACAATAAATTGTAGAAAATTTCCTAATTGTTTCAGTTTTTTTTAACACTGTTCGCAAGATCCTAGCGAAAATCCTTCTGAGCTACGAAATAACGATCATCAGTACCCCAAATTGCAAAATGGCTTACACCACACATACTTATAGGAGACACCACAACATGCACTAATTACACAAGAGATACAGAAAAAGATGTAGTGAACATCATCAAGCCTTCTTTACAATTTTCAGGTCACCCTTGTAGCTACTGAGCAAGTACGAATGAGCACTAAGAATTTAATCAACAAGCAGGCACAGTTGTTTAGTGCTGATGATGCCAGACCTGAGACAAAAGAGTAAAAGACTGTTACAAACTATCAGATAGTAAGCAATTTATTACGCAAAACTCTGCCTGAGGCTACATTATACACCTACAGTGACCCTGAAGCTGGTTTCACAACACACTTTTGGATATCTAGTGAACACTTCTCCAAGTCTGTTTCCCACTACTCTTCACCAAGTCAAACTTTTATTAAGAACCTACGTGCCAGTCACTGTGCTAAGCACCTGTTCTTTTCAGTCTCGAGTCACCACGGTTTGGAAACACACAAAGAGGAAGTTAGCTTCAATAACAAAGCTGCAGTCCAACACCAATATAAATATGTTAACAGATTCTCTGTTATAAGAACCTGAAGTTAAATTGCTGTAAGTATTATGTAATCACTTTCCTTTCTCATTTTGACTATCATTCTAGGAGGAGCTAGAAAACACCTTCTGTTACACATGGAATGCACTAAAGTTTTATAAGACAGAAAATAGGATTAAAAGCTGCAAGAGACATTAGAGCTCATCTAGTCACAGTGCCAGCCTCACAGCAGGAAACAGGCTCAGAGCAGTCAAATGACTTGCCCAGTAAGGAATGAAATTTGGATTCTAACCAAGCTTTTCTGACTCTAAATCTAGAAAATAACAAATATACTGAATGCTTTGCATATGGACTGTGCTCTGTTAGTTTTATGCTGATATTTTACATACGTTCTTCATTAAGGTTATCAAGAACAGAGGCAACAACTACAGACAAAGCTACCCTAAATTCCTGCATTTGAGAGACTATTTGGGGGCAAAAGGAAAGACTGATATTTAGAAGACTTTAATTCTGTTCTTGCATATCTGAATTTTTTATTATGGGAACTGAGGAAAAATTACTCGAATTTCTTTGTAATTCCTTTTATTATAAGGAAAGACGAAGAAAGCAATGTTGATGCCAACCTGACAGTTCAGAAGGACCTAATCAGAAAAGGGTATGAAGTACATACAGTAGTATAAATTACTTTAATTAAAGTCTATGGAATAGGATTTTTATAGTTGAAAAGGAAAGATATGCTCTCCGTCATTCTCTGAATTGTTTTGGTAGAATACTAATTTGGGACAAGCAACTAATAAAAGAGTTTAATTAAATAATCTGAAGACAACTAGAAAGGAGCGTTGAATGACAACTGCCCTAAAACTATGCCAGTTATTTTTCTTGAGCTTTCAGGCAGGCCATCAGTTTTATCTGGGGTACTAATCAAAATAATAGGTGCAGTTGGAAAGTTTCCATAAATAACAGTAAATAATGATGACTCATTTATATTGCATTCTAAGCACTTTGCTCATAACAAGCAAAACTCTAAGTTTGGTACACTTTGTAACATTTTTAAAAAAGTTTCAGAAAGCTGACAGGATAATTCATCAGCAAGAATGATGGGTTTGGAGTAAAAAGACTTGGGTACAAATCTTAGATCTGTCAACTTAACTATGTCACCTTGGACAAATCAATTAATTTGCCTGGGTCTCATTTTCCTCATCTGTAAAATGAGGTAGTTGGACTAGATGGTCACTATGGTCTCTCCCAGCTCTATATCTACCTAAATTAAAACAAGATCCTTAAACCTAAGGATCTATTTACTTGCAGATTTAGTTACAGGCTTCAGTCAACTAAGCAAGGGTGAGGAAAACCAGATCTTCAAGAAGCAATGATTTGATATGCTGATTGGAAAAAATAGACCAGCAGTTCTCAAACTTTTTGGTTTTAGGAGCCCTTTACACTCTTAAAAATTGAGGACCCTTCCCCTAAGGAGTTTTTGTTTGTATGTTAAATCAGCTGTTTACCATGTTCAAAATTAAAACACCTTAGTTCTATTATGAAAATAGTTTTGACTTCTCTGTAAACAGTCTCAGAGAGCCCCAGGGGTCAATGAACCATATTGCTGGAATAGACCAAGTTCATTTAAAGCAATATTCTTGACTTAGTCTTATAACCTTGAAAAACATAACAGAAGAACTGGGCATGTTGCACAATTTTTGTATAAAATAGATACTTAATAAAGGTTTGTTGAAGTGAATTAAAATATAGATCACAGGATCATACACCTAGAGCTGGAAGGGCCCTCAGATGTCATCTGGTCAGAAGTGACTTGCCTGAGGTCACACAGGTAAGAGGTACCAAAGCTAGGACATGATCCTAGGTCTTCTGACTTCAGAACATGCAGTGTTCATTCCACTCTAACCCAATCTCCATAATCAAAGTATTTAGAGCTAGAAGCAGCTAGAATTTATATATTGTAACCCCTAATTTCACAGATGATGAAATTGAGACCCAAGCAGATAAATGAGTTGCCCAAAGTCACACAAGTAATAGATAAATAGTAGGGCCAGGATTCCAATCCAGGTTCTCTGACTCCAAATCAAGAGCATTCTCTTTCCACAGTACTGTTTACCGCTGACCACTTTGTGCAATAGGTTAGAGACTCTAGCTAGAAAAGTGCTTTCACATGTGAACAAGTACTGAATATGAATCAGAAAAGCTGGGTTCAAATCCTGATCCTGCTCTGCTACTCACTACCTCTCTGGCTAGAAGCATGTCACAACCTCTTTGACCTCAACTTCCCTCTCCAGTAAAATGAGGGTACTGGTTAAAATCAGAGGTCTTTAAACTATAGCACGGGCATCATCCACTACCAGGTTTTTCTAAGACCCACCAAGCTTTAAGAATGGTTTTCACATTTTTAGATACAATAAAACTTGGGGTCAGATTGGATGCTCTCCCCCTTACATCATACCATTAGTACTAAAAGCTGCCCACTATCATTGAATCTACTTGCATAATGGTCAATGATTCACTGACTGTAAAGTGAATAGAAAACAGTCATCCTATCCATTCTATACTGGGCTATCTGCAGACTGAGGTGTACATTTTCACAACACCTAACTCCAAGGAAAATTAATCTACAGTGAAAACCTCAGCTTCCTAAAACTGTTTCCTCAACCTATGCAAGAAGAGTTCATTAGCCTTTTGGAATGTAGCTAATTTACTAGCTTTAAATAGTACTTGCTGAATTGGACAAGAGAAGAGACAAAAGATTATTGAAACAGTAACTAGAGTCCAAAACTATCCCACAAACAAACAAAAAAATCCCAATGTCTTCAAGGATGTAATGTTCTTTTTTTAGCACCCTAACACATAATGATGAAATCATTATCCCTAATGGTAATTAACAATACTTATATCCATTGAGGGATAAGGTTATTTCAGTTTCTTCCCAAAATTCAACAAAATATAAGCAATATTTACTGTTTTGTCTACTTTTCATTTCTTTTAGACTTTCTACACTAAACCTACATGCTTAAATGCAACTATAAATGTCCTCACCCCTACTACATACTTTCTGGTCCTGAGAAGTAGCACTTTCCTGGGCAATTCCAACAGCAAAGCACTCAGAAAAATGTCATTACTTTTGTGTGTATGTGTGCACACGTGTGTGCGCAGACGCACACACGCAACTACACTGCCTCACTGTCAATGTCCCCTTACCTTAAGTTATTGTTCTTATTACAGGATTTAGAACTGCAAAGAGACTTTAGAGATAGTCCACGAATGCAGTCTATAGATGAGGAAACAGGACCAGTCCAGTGAAGAAAAAACATTTATCTGAATTTTTTATAAAAAATTAGGTCCCTTGGTAAATACTTGTTCATGTATAGACAACTGAAGAGAGGTAATTTTACTAATAAAAAAAGGAGAGATTTTCAGCTAGGTACTTAAGTTCTGGCTGACAGAGATCAATTAGTTACATAAACACTAACCAAATCTTTCAGGTCATTTCTAGGCAATCTTTCAAATAGAAGAATCAGCTAATTTGGCCATGGCAATAACAAAAGTGATGCTGCACATTTTTTTCTCCAGGAGAGTCAAGACAGCAAGATATTGATGCTTATCATGACACACATCCTGGGCTCATAAAAAAACACTTTATGTGAATACTCTATGAAGTATTAAAATTATACCACAAATTTATGCAAAAAAGTAAAAGTTGAAGTTTACTTTTCATTTGAATCCAAAATTAATCATAAAAAAAGGTCATTTGCTCCTTTTGGTTCCTAGGGCAGTGCCACAATTTTGGCTTTTATTAACATTATTTATTGTAAAAGTAGATTTTTAGTTTTTAGTTCATATTAAAAAATGGAAATATTTTTGTATTCAGGAAAATTCCAAAGTACAGTTTAACTAGTAATAAATATCATGTCTACTCACTTTTCCTCCCCCCATATTCTTGTAGCATTAATAACCAGACTAGGTCTGGAAAGGTTCAAATGTTGAAGTAGGCAAAAAATGTAAATTCTGATGTTATTCTATTCAGTTAACACTGAAATTAATCAACATCATTATATGATTAGGAAACTAGACAAAATAAACTATGACATCAAAGCAAGAAACTGTTTTATGATACTCAACAGCCGTGGATTGATTATCCTGTACTCTTTCCTGTACTGAAGCTTGGGATCTTCAAAACTCATGGTAATTTCCAGATCAAGTCAGGAAACAGAAAGCTTATCTAACTTAGCCCCTAGCAATACAGTATCACAGAGATATGAATGCTGATTTATGCACACTGAAGAACTAAATGATGGACAGGAGAAGCTGAAACTAACCTTATGTATGCTAAACATTGCATGCGAAAGATCTGGAGGAAAGCAAACTGCCAGAATTCTGGTTTAAATTAAATCGTTTAATTCAAAACTGCCAGAAATTTGGTTTAAATGCCCTCTGAAGTATGAAGTTCTCCATATATCTTTTTGTGCACAGAAGAGGAGAACAAATAGAAGATACTTTGTATTCCGAAAGTTCTCAAGCTTTAGAAATTCTGCCCTCTATCCAATGTAATCCGCACGCACAGAACTTGGCAGTTAAGGAATCTGGCAAGATGGAAACTTACAAGGCATGGTTGGTTAGAATCAGAAATCAAGCCTCAGGTGTCAATATGCGTTTCAATTAGCAAGGAAATGACCAAACCAAATGAGCTGGAAACACTTGGGAGCGGGGGGCAGACGGAGGGCTCGGAATCCCCTAGCGGGCAGGGAAGGCCATCAGGTCACACCCACCCTTCCGAGGACGGAGCGCCTCCCTCCGCGCTTCCTTCCCCACTTTTCTCAAAGTAGGCCACATCCACTTCCCCAAGAATCCCACAAAAGACCAGCCGGGTCGGACCGGGCCTCGAGGAGACGCACAATCCGCGAGCCGGCGATCCTGAAACAGGCAGCGAGCGGCGCCGGCCCGGCCGCCCGCCACGGAGGAGGAGCCTCCGCGAGCGGGAAGTGCCTCCAGCGGACGGGGCGGAAGCGCAGGCAGGCTCCGGGACCGGATCCAACAGGGCCCGGGGGGAAGAGGAGGAGTGGCCGGATCTGGCTTCTTCCCAGCGGGAATGAAAACGGCTCCGGTCTCTGTCCCCCCAGCCCCTACCCCCGCTCATCTCACTCCCGGAGAGCGGCCTCTCTGGCCGGGTGGAGACGCTGCCCCAACGAACCCCTGAGCGAGGCCGAGCGGGCGAGCTCCGTGCCTGCCTCCGGTCCGGGTGCCCGCCTCCCTCCGGCCTCTTCCTTACCTTCTGCTCCTCGGCCGAGGCCGCCTCGGGGATCTCCGCGGACATTGCGCCCCTTCAGTCGACTGGGAGGACACTGGGGGAAAGGAGACACAAAAGAGCAGGGAAGAGGAAGCCCCGATAGCCGCCAACAACGTGCCCCAGCAGCCACCGCCCGCGTCGCGCTCGAGCCCTCAACCTCCTGCTCCCGCCCTCCGGCCGCTCTCTCTGAGCGCCCACCGCGGTTGCCTCCAAAAATGGCCGCCGCCTTATGACGGCATAGCGTCTCGCCGTGTACGGCTAGTCGCAGGGGCCCTATTTCCTGACTCCTCGGCTCCACCCCTCTCCTTTGACCGTTTGGCCTATAAGTTTCCGCAACTCCTTCCCATACCCCGCCTTAAAAACGGTTCCTTTCTGCGGCATTTCTAGAGAACCACTGACTGTAAACATCATTTCCGAGTTCGGTTGCTTTCGGTGCTTTCTGGGAATTGTAGTTTTTGGTGTATCCTTTCCCTGCTTTTGGTCCATTCTCTTTCAGAATCTCAGAACGCTAAAGCCGGAAAGGTTCTTATTTAGAGACTGTAGTACAACCTTATTTTATATATGAGGAAACTGAGGCCCAGGGAAGGAAGAGGGGCCCTACCCAAGGTCACTCAGGTGGTAAATAGCAGAACCTGCGCTGAAACTAACATCTGACAGAGTAGGAAAAAGAACACTTGGGTCTAGAGCCTGGTGTCTGTATCATAGCGTCACATATCTAGAGATTTATGGGAAGGGAAATCCAACTCTCTCATTTTACAGATGAGGAAACTGAGGACCCAAAAAGGTAAAGCGCTTTGTCTAAAGTCACAGGGCTAATATGTGGCCAAGCCTGGATTCAATCCTAAATCCTTTAACTGCAAATCCAGAGCACATATCTGTGGAGCGATTTGGTCTTTGGGCAAAGCACTTTCATTTTTCTGGGATTCCCTTTCTTCATCCAGTTCCTTTTGCTTTTGATCTGAGGCAGGACTCCAGGGCTCAGATATCATATAGGGAAATCCTAGTGTGCAAACACTCCACATATGCAGATGTGCAATTCACCTGTAATTTACCATCTTTGGTAGTTGCAGGCTACACTGAGGTGTGGCTTGTCCACAGTGATGGGATTTGAACACAGGTTTTCTGAAGAAAAAACAGCAACCATTTCGATTGCCTCCACTTTCTTACTTCTCATTCACTTGCAATCTAACTCCAGTCCAGTGCACTGAAACTCCTCTCTACAAGGTCGCCAACGATATTTTTAGTCATAAATCCAATAGCCTTTATCAATAGCCACATGGGAAAAAAATGTTCCAAATGACTAACAATTGGAGAAATGCAAATAAAAACACTCTGAGGTTCTACTTCACACTCATCAGATTGACCAAGTAGACAGAAAAATGAAATTACAAATGTTGAAGAGCTGCAGGAAATAGCCAGGCCATTCCGGTAAGCAATTTAGAACTATACCCCCAGAAGTCACCAACCTGTGCAAACCCATGTTTGACCCATCAATACCATCGCTACATCTATACCCCAAAGGAATTAAGGAGGAAAAGGATCTAAACAGGATGTCCCAAAAGTCTATGTGCAGTTTTAAAATTTAATAGCTAAAAATAAGCTAAAGAGCCTTTTAAAAAAAAATAAGCTATTGAAGCTTAAGGCTGCACTAAGCCTTTTGAAAACTGTATGTACAAAAGTATAGCAGTAATTTTTGTAGTAACAACTGAAAACTAATGGAGCTCCCATCAATTCAGGAATGGTTAAACAAATTATGGCATATGAGTTTGATGGAATGCTATTATGCCATAAGAAATTATAAAAAGCATGGTCTGTGAAATCTGGGAAAACTTGTATGAAATGATGCAGAGTGAAGTGAGCAAAATCAGTAGAACAATTTATACTATGACAACACTGTAAAAATAAACAACTTTGAAAACCTCAAGAATTCTGAACAATACAATGACCAGCCAGGACTCCAGAGGACAGATGATGAAGCATACTACCTATCTCCTGACAGAAAGGTAACAAACACAAAGTTTAGTAAGAGGCATATTTGGGTGAAGGTAGATGAGGGTAGGGGGAAGGAGGACAGTATCAGTGGGGAAATGTGTTTTACATTGATAGATGCAGTTCTTTCTCTGGATGTGGATAGCATTTTCCATCATGAATCAAGAACACCCTTTCTTACCTTTAATTTTTGTTGTTGTTCAGTTGCATCTGACCTTTTGTGACCCAATTTGGGGTTTTCTTGGCAAGGATACTGGAGTAGTTTGCCACCTGCTGCCTAAGAGGCATTTCAAAAACTCAACATGCTTAAAATAATAATTGTCTTTCTCCACAAATCCATTCCTCCTCCCAATTTCCGTGTTTCATTTAAGCGTACTAAATATTGTTTCAGTCACCCAAGCTTACAACCTAGGAGTATCTTCAGCTTTCCACTCTTTCATTCCTCAATCTAATTAATTACCAAGTTTTGACTCTTCTACCTCCTCAAAACTGCTGCCATCCCATTTCCTCCTCTTTATTTATACTACATCCACCATAGTTCAAGCCTTCAGAACTTCTTTCCTAGACTATTATAATATCCTTCTAATGGGTCATATTACCTCCACTCTCTCCAATCTTTCCAATACCTTCTCTGCACAACTGCCAAATGATATTCCTAAAGCAGAGGTCTGATTATGTCACTGCCTCATTTAAGAAGCTCCAGTGGCTCCCTAGATGGTTCAATGGATAGAGTGCTGGGCCAGGAGTTGAGAAGACCCGAGTTCAAATCTGGCCTCAGACACTTAGAAGCAGTGTGACCTTGATCAAGTCACAAAGAGTCACTACTGAACAACAGTGGCTCCCTATTGCCTTAAGGATAAGTTATAAACTCCTTTGTCTGGAATTTAAAACTCTTCACAATCTTGCTTAAGCCCGTCTTTCCAGATTAATTAGATGTAGCCCAGGGGCAGTTAGGTGGCAGTGGATAAAGCTCCAGCCTTGGAGTCAGGAGGACCTGAGTACTAGCTGTCTGACCTTGGGCAAGTCACTTAACCCCAATTACCTAGCCAAAAAAAAAAAAAAAAAGATTAATTAGATATAGCCCAGATGTGGCACCAATCCCAACTCTCTCTAAATTCTATTCTTCAGCTACAGGTAACTTAATCACCCATTTACAACAACCTTGGCAGATTGAGGTAATTCCCAGGACGGTCAGCCATGACACTAATACTCAATTCTCTAGATCCTGTAGATAATTCTCATATAGGGAGAACATAGTCCTACTTTTCATCCCTGTGGCTACTGAGCTCCCACTGGTGTGTTTCCCACTTACAAAATATTTAGTCCCAGTAATACTTTTGACTCTTAAACATGAAATATTTATTAAATGGTAAGACAAAGAATAATCAAAACATTTACTCACTAGCAAGCAAAAAGTATAGTCAAAACAAAACAATCCACCCATTAATCTGGAGTACTCTTTATCACCAATGCACACAGTGTTCATATAGATGGGAGTGGGGACACATAGAAACCTACCAGTAAGTCACATGAGTAGGGAAGCCCTTGTGCCTGGGGTGGTTCACAACTCTAGACTACAAGGGTGAATGTTAGTGGTCTTTTTTTTTTCCTTTTATTAAAAATTCTGGGCTTAATAACACAAGCATGTCCATAACAATGTAGAATAGAAAAAAAGAGGATTGCACACAAAATTGCAAATCTATTATGTACAACTTGCTTTTCCTTTTAAATACATAATAACATTTTCGTATAACTTTCTTTTTTCTCTCCTTCCCCCCCCACCCTGTAGATGGCTACCGTTAGACACAAATGTGTGTGTATAAATATATATGTATATAAATATGTGTGTGTATAACATCATACTATACATCTATTTTTTAGTTCTTTCTCTGGATGTAGATAACATCTTTATAGGTCCTTTGTAGTGTATTTGGGTATTTATAATAGTCAAAATGACTTGGTCACTCAAAGTTGTTCTTAAAACAACATTGCTGTTACTTTATACAATGTTCTCTTCATTCTGCTTATTTTGCTCTTCATTATTTCATGCAAGTCTTTCCATGTTTTTCTAAAATCATCCAGCTCATTATTTCTTATAGCTGGTAGTATTCCATCATAATCATATACCACAACTTGTTTAACCATTCCACAATTGAAGGGCATCCCCACAATTTCCAGTTCTTTGCTACCAGAGAGCTACCATAAATATTTTAGAACAGATAGATTCTTTTCCTTTTTCCCCAATCATCTTGGGAAATAGACCTAGGAGTGGTATTGCTGGGTCAAAAGATATAGATGGTTTTATAACTCTTTGGACATAATTCCAAATTGTTCTCCAAAATGGTTGGATTAATTCACAGTTCCACCAACAATGAATTAGTGTCCCAATTTTTCTACATCCCTTCCAACATTTGTTGCTTTCCCCTTCTATCATTTTAGCCAATTTGATAGGTATAAAATAATATCTCATTTCTCTAATCAATAATGATTTATAGCATTTTTTCATATGACTAAAAATTGTTTTGATTTCCTCATTGGAAAACTGCTTGTTCATATCCTTTAACTATTTATCAATTGGGGAATGACCCTCATTCTTATAGATTTGACAAAGTTCTTTATATATTTGAGATATGAAACCTTTGAGAAAATCTATAAAATTTTTCTCCCAATTTTCTGCTTTCCTTCTAATCTTGGCTACATTGGCTTTATTTGTACAAAACCTTTTTAATTTAATGTAATAAAAAATATCCATTTTACATGTCACAGTGTTCTTGGTAAATGGTGGAAGATATTACTCTATACCCAATTTCTGCCAGCCTGCTTTCCAGTTTTCCCAATTGGTTTTTTTTTTTACCAAGTAATGTATTCTTATCCCCAAAGCTTAAATCTTTATATTTGTCAAACACAAGATTACTATAATCATTTACTAATGTGTATTATATGTCTACTTTGTTCCACTCATCCGCCTTTCTATTTCTTAGCCAGTATCAGATAGTTTTGATAATTACTGCCTTATAATACAATTTAAGATCTGGTTCTGCTCAACCTCCTTTCTTTACATTTTTTTCATTAATTCCTTTGATATTTTTGACCTTTTGTTCTTTCAAACGAATTTTTTTTCTAGCTCAATAAATATTTTTTGTTAATTTAATTGGGATAGCATTGAATAAGATTAGATAGAATTGTCATTTTTATTATCTTGGC